CCAAACGGAAGAGTACACGTCACTCATTGATAAAATCAATTTACTGCGGGCAATGTTTAGCTCAAGACAAAATGAAGAGAACACGTTTTCTGAATTTATCAATTTCCAACAATACTTGGCAAATACCCTCCCATTCACTTTACTGTCTTTCATTAAAAAAATCGAAAAGTTTTTTGAAAGTGGGACGTACACGTTGAACACCCCTGCAAATGAAACAAAAATTTTGGAGGCGTCTTTTGAGAAACAGAAAAAGCCGATTCCGCCATTCATTTTATATAATAATAGAACGTTGGAAGAAATATTGTACTCGGAGAATCGGAAAACTACACAACTGCCAAAAGCAATTGAAAAGATCTTTGAGGAATTGTTGAAGCGCGGATGTCAAACACAAAACATCTTTCGAACGTGTGAAAGTACTTCTATCAGAGAAATAGAGGAAGTGTGTATGACGATGAGTGTCATTACTTTCGACACCATCCCCGCTGATGTCCTTGCCAGTTCATTTAAAGTCTTTGTGAGGAATTTGCGCGAACACATTTTTGGCATTGACGAGACCCATTTAATATTAGGCGACTGGAAGAATATCAAATGCGAAAAGTTGAAAGACCAAGACGTGGCGTTTTTTATTCGAAATGAACTGTTTCGGCTTGAGCCACAGAATTTGGTCTTTTTCAAGAAATCGTTGAAAGTTGCTTATCAAATTATTTTACATGAAAATGTGAATAACATGAATGCAAAGAATTTGTCGGTCTGCTTGTCAACAAATTTCTTCACGTTCGAGGCTAGAGAAGATGAGAACGAAAATATGGAGGAAATGTCGTGGTGCATCGACTTCTTTGAGAGTTGTATTACGCTGTTTCCCCTCATCTTCCCGGACGAATATGGAATGGACTATAACACTGATTTCCTCCAGTTGTCACCACGTCAGAAGACCCAACCCAAAAAACCAAATGATTCACGGTGCACCCCTATTAAATTGACACCAGAAGAAAGTCCAAACGAAAAAAAGACAGCGAAAACTACAGAGGAAATTAAAGAAAGAGGGAAACTTTTGTTACCTACAAAAACACCAGAGAAAGTCACAATTAAAATGCTTTCATGTAAAACGGGATCTTTTGGAAGTTCTACATTGGAACGAATGAACACGACGAAGGACAATAAAAATGGGTCAACGCCAAGTTCACCAAGAGGGGAAATGATAGGTGAACTTATTGCTAAATTGAAAACTCAACAAATTATTGGTGGACAACTGAAGAATTTTGATCGAATTGATAAAGCAAAAAAACAGGAGAAAGGTAGTGGAAAAGTGACTGAGAGAGGAAAGGAAAAGTGCATCAAATAGGTATCAATGTGAGTCGATTGTGTTTTTAATGAATTTTTATTTGATTGAGGTTACTAATTTTTTACTCATCGAAGATCGTATAAAAACATTAGAGTGAGACTATAATATTTTATAATCACTCTTTGTTTGTATAAAAGAGAACTTTATAGAAATTCAAACACGTAAACGATTGGAATCAAAATGTTAGGAACAGTTTCATATAAAAAAGGAAAAAGGAAACTTTGAAAAAGAAATGGAGCGTAATGTGGAGGCCTCTATTGAAAAAACAAACGGCACTAACGAAAAGAAGATTGGGACGTTGAGACTGTTTGGGATTATGTTTGCTTGTATTGTTGGAGGGGCTTACGGAGCTGAACCACTCATTAGTGCGGCTGGTCCACTTGTTGGGCTGGGTGTGATCATATTGGGCTCTCTTGTTATTATGTTGCCACTTTGTCTTGTTACAGCGGAACTTTCAACAACTCTCCCTTGTGAAGGAGCGTGCGTGACGTGGTCCGTCGACTCTTTTCGCCCACTTGAAGGCTTCTTTACTCCGTTTATTATCCTTATTTCAATATCCGACTCATTCATTGATAATGCAGTATACCCAGCTTTGTTTGTTGGTTATTTGGAAGGTCTTGTTGGGATGGACGCAATATGGAGTTACGTCATCAAAATTGTTGTAGTGTTTGTATCAACTGTTGTGAATATAATTGGTGTTAAAACACTTGGAACGGTATCATTGGTCATTTCTATTTTTACCACACTTCCGTTTTGTGTATTTTGTGTGGCATCATTTCCATCATTCTCTGTTGATTCAGTCTCCCGGTTATTGGAATCACTCCCTGCAAACAAAGTGAATTACTCTGTTTTGTTTTCAGTGTTGTTCTGGTTGATCAATGGAGTGGATGCAGCGGGTAACATCTCTTCTGCTGCAAAACCACACTCTTTTCCAAGAGCTTTAACGTTGTTGAGCATTTCAGCGAGTCTGTCATATGTTATACCACTTGCCTGTGGAGTCTTGGTTGATCCAAATTGGGCGCAATGGGAGGATGGTTCTTTTGTGACAATTTCGAGGTTGTTTGAATGGGAATGGGCGCGTAAGAGTATCCCAATTATGATGGGTGTAGGTGGTGTAATGTCTTCATTTGGCACGTTAGTCACGCTTCATGGAACAACTTCCAGGCTTTTATTTGGAGCTTCTCAAATAGAGTCCAAAAACAAAGTCGTCCAAAAGGTGTGTGCCATCCTTGGACACGAAAATAAACGGTTTAAAACGCCTGATCTTGCAATAATCGGGATGGCTCTTGTTTTTGGTTCCTTTTCGTTGGTAATGGACTTTGAGGAATTGGTAGGTGTGTCGTCTACGTTATATTCGATTCAAGCGTTGGTGGTCATCGCCGAGTTTGTTCTTCTCAGAGTGAGGTACCCACACATTACAAGACCTTACAAAATGTTCAGTTTACCTGTTGCGTTGTTCTGTCTCACCCCTTTGACGATGTTCTGCTGTTGTTGCCTTGTTTTTGGAATGATGACAGACCTCACATCTCTGATTGTTTCAGGCGTTCTTCTCAACGCAATTTTGCTCCTCTCATTGTCTTACTTTCTGTTCTCAAAATCTCGGTTTGTCAGTCATGTTGTCATATCACAGGAAATTACGACTTTGTAGCAATTATACTTTCCCACCATTCCATCAGTATGTGAAGGAAAAATTGAAATTCGTCAGCCTATTACAGCAGTTTTCATTTTATAAACCATATTTTATTGTTTTAATTACGTACAAATATAGTTTTGATATCATTAACACTGTTTTTTTGAGCAGTAAAAATGATTCACTTTTTTCTTCTTGTTTATTAAAAATCATTTAAAAAAAGGCAACAGATATAGTAAAATATATCAAGTTGAAATTATTTAATTCCAACAAAAGTACAACTTCGTTTTGTAGAAAAATTTCGGGTTTCGGACAAAGGAGATCGAAGTTATTTCGCATGAAGAATATTGAGAATTAGTTTGTTTTTTTATCGCCAATTTTTAAGAAAAATAACCAAATTACTAACAAAACCACTTACATTTAATAAAAATACTATAACAAATAATACATTTTTTGTTTAATTATGAAAAAAAAACCGAAAAGAAAAAAATTAAGAAACAAGGCGATTCAATCTCGGTGCTCTCAGAATTTGTGGTAAAACTCGTAATTGACACGTTTTTCACACGTAATCTTCACCAATTATTTTGACATTTTCTATCTTGAAAAGTTTTTATTATGAGGTTCTTTCCTTATTAATTAAAAAATGCGATATCACACACTTAAATAAACACATAACTTATTTACTCCATTTAAAATAAAAAAATCGAGTTAAAATAAACTTTTCTTTTAAATGCAACTTTTCGGATGAGGTCAATAAGCCGGAACGAGAAACCCGGCACACGAACCCTAAGAGTATAAAAGGGGGCGAAGGCAGGGAGAACTCAGAGAATGAGATCTGTATACGATTTTGAAGATGGAGATGGAACCAACAAGAAGCTTCTTGGAGGAAAGGGAGCTGGACTTTGCACCATGACCAAGATTGGACTTCCAGTCCCACAAGGTTTTGTTATCACAACCGAACAATGCAAAGCTTTCATTGCCAACAACAACAAACTCCCAGAAGGATTGATGGAAGAGGTCAAGAAACACATGGCCGCTGTCGAGAAGAAATCTGGAAAGGTCTTTGGAGGAGAAACCAACCCACTTTTGGTCTCCGTCAGATCAGGTGCTGCTATGTCCATGCCAGGTATGATGGACACCATCTTGAACTTGGGTCTCAATGACAAGACTGTCGTTGCTCTTGCTAAGTTGACCAACAACGAGAGATTTGCTTATGATTCATACAGAAGATTTGTTTCTTTGTTCGGAAGAATCGCCCTCGGAGTTGAAGACGCCGTTTATGACAAGCCCCTTGAAGAGAAGAAGGTTGCTAAGGGTGTTAAATTGGACACTGAATTGTCTGCTGAAGATATGAAGGAACTTGCTCAGATCTACATCAAGAAGACTGAGGAAGCCACAAAGAACGCTTTCCCAATGTGCCCATTCGCTCAACTCGAATGCGCTATTTCAGCCGTCTTCAGATCATGGATGGGAAGAAGAGCTGTTGATTACAGAAGAGAATTCAAAATCACTGACGAACAAGCTGATGGAACTGGTGTCTCCGTTGTCTCTATGGTCTATGGTAACATGGGCAATGACTCCGCCACTGGTGTCTGCTTCACTCGTGATCCGGGAACAGGTGAGAACGTCTTCTTCGGTGAATATTTGAAGAACGCTCAAGGTGAAGATGTCGTCGCTGGTATTAGAACCCCACAACCAATTAACACTATGGCTGATGATAAGGATCTCCCAGACGCGTACAACCAATTGTTGGACATTAGAAAGAAGCTCGAGGGCTATTTCCACGAAGTCCAAGATTTCGAATTCACCATTGAAAAGAATAAGGTCTATATGCTCCAAACCAGAAATGGTAAGATGAACGCCGTCTCAACCGTCAGAACCGGTGTCGAGATGGTCTCTGAAGGACTTATTACTAAGGAACAAGCCATTTTGAGACTCTCCCCACAATCCGTCGACCAATTGCTCCACAAGAACATCCCAGTCGACTTCAAGGGAACCCCATTGGTCCAAGGACTCCCAGCCTCCCCAGGAGCTGCTTGCGGTGCTGTTGTCTTCGACGCTGATGATGCTGTTGAACAATCCAAAGCCAAGAAGGTCTTGTTGCTCAGAGAAGAAACCAAGCCAGAAGATATTCACGGGTTCTTTGTTGCTCAAGGTATCTTGACTTGCAGAGGTGGAAAGACTTCTCATGCTGCTGTCGTTGCTAGAGGTATGGGCAAGCCATGTGTCTCTGGTGCTGAAGGTATTAAGGTTGATGTCAACAAGAAGGTTGCCACTATTGGATCATTGACTGTCAAGGAAGGTGATATTTTGACCATTGATGGATCGACTGGTAAGGTGTACCAAGGTGAATTGAAACTCGAAGAACCAAACATTGGATCCGGATACTTCGGAACTATGTTGCAATGGGCTAATGAAATCAAGAAGATTGGTGTCTTTGCTAATGCTGATCTCCCATCTGCTGCTAAAAAGGCTATTGAATTCGGTGCTGAAGGTATCGGACTGTGCAGAACCGAAAGAATGTTCAACGCCGTCGAGAGACTCCCAATTGTCGTCAAGATGATTCTTGCTGAGACCATTGAAGAGAGAAACAAATTCTTGAACGAGTTGATGCCACTCCAAAAGGAAGACTTCAGAGGACTTTTGACCACTATGAACGGCCTCCCAGTCACCATTAGATTGTTGGACCCACCATTGCACGAGTTCCTCCCAACCCTCGAGGAATTGATGAGAGAAATCTTCGAGATGAAATTGGCTAATAAGACTGAAGGACTTGCTGATAAGGAAAGAGTCATGAGAAAGGTCAAGGAATTGATGGAAGTCAACCCAATGATCGGTCACAGAGGTATCAGACTTGGAACCACAAACCCAGAAATCTATGAGATGCAAATCAGAGCTTTCTTGGAAGCCACCGCTGAAGTGATTAAGGCTGGTATTAAGACTCACGCTGAAATTATGATCCCCAACGTTACTGAAGTCAACGAACTCATTCACTTGAGAAAGACTGTTTTGGATAGAGTCCACAAAGAGGTTGAGACTAAGTATGGCATTAAGGTCCCATTCATGTACGGAACAATGGTCGAGTGTGTCAGAGCTGCTTTGACCGCTGACAAGATCGCCACTGAAGCCGAATTCTTCTCATTCGGTACCAACGATTTGACTCAAGGTACTTTCTCATACTCCCGTGAAGATTGTGAGAACAAATTCTTGCCAAAATACGTCGAACTTAAGATCCTCCCAGCTAACCCGTTCGAGATTCTTGACAGACCAGGCGTCGGTGAAGTCATGAAGATCGGTGTCGAGAGAGGAAGAAAGACTAGACCAGACTTGATCGTCGGTATCTGTGGTGAACACGGTGGAGAACCATCATCCATCGAATGGTGCCACATGATCGGACTCAACTATGTCTCCTGCTCATCATTCAGAATCCCTGTTGCCAGAATTGCTGCTGCTCAGGCTCAGATTAGACATCCAAAGAACTAATTAAAACAGATCCGTTCTATTTGTTTACTATTAACTACTAGTTGTAATTTAATACCATAATATTATAATATAATTCTAATAAAATAATAAGCATCTTTAATTACAGACTTCTGGTTTTGGTTTGTTCGACTTGATTGCGAAGGTATGTGACTTGCTATTTTGAGAATCTGAGACGGTGTAAGTCGAAGAGTCTTTGGTATAAGAGACAACTATTTCGTCGTTGAGGACGATCACTGCGTTGGGGTATTTGTCGGTTATAGTAGGATTGCAGTCTTGTGTCAAAAAGATCTTGCTTGTAAGCTGCATGTTCTCAAGAGCCTTTTGTGTTGGATGGCCATACGAATTTCCAGCACCACAAGATATCAAGGAAACAGTTGGAAGTAAGGTGGAGAGGAAATCCTTGTTATTTGAATGTTCGGAGCCATGATGATCTGCGTGGTAGACATCGACTTGACCAATGAAAGTTTTGTATGTGGACTCCACGTTGTGATATTTATACTTGTATGACGACTTTGAATCTTCGCCATCCAAATCGCCTGCTGTGAAATAGACGAAGTCACCGAATTGTATTCTTAAAGCAATTGTATAATCATTTTCACTTGGTGGATATTGCTCCGAACGATGATCACCAGTAAGTACTTGACTATTATCTAAGACACCATTTGCATTGACTCCGATGATGTCAACAGTAGAATCAACATCAGGGGGTGTTATTAGATGTGCACAATACTCTGCTAATACTCTTTT